TTTATTGTGGTCGATAGCCACATCGGGTTAACGTTAAATTAAAAAAATTGAAGTTATCCCTAAAATTAAATAAATCATACTTTTTTTTATTTCATCAACGTGATTTTAAATTCAATTTTTATTGCTAGGTTAATCCAAAGATATAATATTTTAAACATTTTTTATAATTATTTCTGGAAATGGGCGAAGCAAAGATTGGCCAGAAAAACACATAACCGCACTTTCTGATAAATTGTACTTAGAAGTCGAGACTGTCGATATATTGTTGAAGTTGCTACTTCGATTTCAAATCTTTGGAAAAATAAAATATTAATACTCTTTTTCGTTTCTACTATAAATTTAATTTAAATAATTTGCTATAATTATTATTATTTTTCTATTTACTTATAAATAATATAAAAAAATAATTATTTTTTTTATTCGTTTTCGGGCGAAATCATACAAATGGAGTAGAATTTTATACCCTATAAGAATATACATAAATATGATACTTAACTAACTACATTAATGGTAAAAACCATATAAAATATAATATGATATACAAAATAAAATTAGTGTGTTTGATATATCTATAAACAAAAGGATCTTTCTTTAGCAAATTAAAATATAATGCTTAGTCCTAACATTATATAATATTACGATTTTTCTCTTTATGTATGTTAATGTAATATTCTTTATTGCAGATCTAGTGTGGATTAGCTACTCTATCACTATTACCAATGCCGTATAATATAAATGTAATAATACTAAATAAAGAAATATTTAAAAAAAAAGTTAAATAAAAATCAGAAAAAAAAAATCAAACTAACCTATTTTCCATGAAAACCTATCTAAGAAGAATGTTTAATGCAGTTGATGCTAATTTTAGCAAAAACATTAAATTATTTTTCTAAAAACGATGACGCTCCTCGTGCTGAAATCAATGATCAAAGCCAATTTATTGCCCTTGAAGAGGTCATCTATATCCGTATTATTTTGTTGTTAAGAAGCTTTTTTACTTGTATGTTTTATTTGAAGTGTATACAATTTATAAAATATATTTTTGTACACATTTTTATTCAAAATTCGTCAGATATCCAAGTTACTGAACAGATTTTAAATATGTTTAAATCACATTCCCTGAAAACACTTCAATTTTGTTGATAAGGATAATTTTGGCATATGTGAACTCTAAAATATTAGGCCAATGTGTACTACACATTGTGTAGACGGACTTTCTTAGAATACTAGGAAGATTTGACGGATATCGATATCATTGGTCAATATCGGCAACAATTTTTGGCCAATATATATATACCGAAACCGTAGTTATGTTGCGTAGTTTGTTAAAAGTAAAAATAATGATCAACAATTTTATTAGTTATTATTTTTAATAAAGAAAATAAGTTTTTAAAAATAGTTATGATACTAATAATAACATTTTATACATATAATAACATAATTCACATATAATATAACAAAATGACACATTTTATAAATAAAGAAAAAAAGCAGACAACTTAAGTATAAATAAATTTTAATTTAAAGAATGATTTAATTTTAATTAAACATAGTTTTGTTATAATTAAAAGTTTAATTATATATTATGAATATTGTTATTATGTGAAAAAACGTAAACCATTTTTTCATTTACACATTTATGAATCCTATTAAAATAAAACAAAAAATTCATTATGTAATCTTACGCAGATAATCCTAATTTTTAGGTATCATTCGTTGTTGACCAAGCTAAAAATATTGCAGATTTAGCAAAAATTAATTAATTGGCAGTTATTCAAATTATCATTTTTTATGAGATGTATTCTATAAAGTTAAAACAACAATATCAACTTTGATACTAGTAAGATCCCTTCATTTATAAGGCAATTTAATTCCGTAAAAACCTAAAAGATTTTTTTCTTTAATGGATATTGGCAGCAGTCAGACGAACCGGCAATTATCTGAAAAAGGTAATCACCTTCCCTAAGCGGTTTAATAGAAGCCAGGAGTTTTAGGCCGTTGAGCAAAAACCTCGTTCGACGGCTCTGATTAAAGACTAAAGCGGTTTGTCTTCCTCACTAATTTAAATACCTATAATCTTATTGTGGCGAAAATTCCTGCCTAGTGCTCCTTTGTCCTTTGTAGAAAAACATTTAATCGTTTGTGGTTTAGGAGCCGCAAGGGGTGGCCTTAGAGGAAGCCGTCGTCGCAAAGAAAGTTCGTGCTTCGTCTTGGGCTTTAATTTGATAAGATTTTAGCAGATTAATTGTATCATTTTAAAGAAGATTATCCGCATTCTCATCCAGTTATCCCTTGCCTCATTGTAATAAAAGTTGACTTTTTAAAGGACAAGTTTTATCCAATCAGATAAGTTATCTGTTATCTTAATATTGCTTTGGAAGGATTAAAACACATAATTTAATATTTTAACATTTATGACATTCATCATCTTATTTCTCCGGCTTCTTATAGAACATCCTCTTTGGCAATCTTTGGTCATACGTTCTTTCTACATGATATATCTATCTTTTACGAGCTCTTTTAACCAATACCAAAATATCAAGTACTCTTTGATGGAATACATATGGGAGGTCGGATGGAAAAGAATTTGAGGATGCCCATGGATCAGATGGCTGGAGGAAGTAGAGGACGATTGGCTCACAGTGGGACGAGTAAGGGAAAACTCGCGACATCCGCTAAAATTATTATTTTTTTTATAATTGCAAAAACTATATGAACTGTTTTATGGATGCCTTCTGGAATTGATGAGAATATTTTCAACTGGCAGAATACACATTTTACCGGAGAGTTCAGACGGTTACACAACGCCGAATTGCGTGAACTGTATCCGAGTAATATAATTGAGATAATATCATACCGGCGAATCAAATGGGCTTGTAAAGTTGTTGGACTTAGTAACGAAAGAATTCCTAAAAGGTTAATATTTGCTGTGCCGAATGGTAAGCGTCCGAGGGGTGGACCGAAGCGAAGGTGGGAAGATTGCATTAAATCCAATCTGAAGGGACTGGGTTTGGACGGCGAACGGTGGAGGGAGATGTGTAATAAGCGATAGGTGGTGTCGGCATCGAACCTTCGGGTTCGCTAAGCATTTTATTATTATTATTATAGAATACACATTTCATGGAATTCCGCACGATTTGTAAAACTGCTTGGTTTGAGATGCTAATTCTTACTTCTTTTTTTAAAACATAATAAACTTTTTACTATGATTCTGCTTATCTAGAAAAATATATAATAATGTATAAATTATTCGAATCTTTTTCCCATTTTGTAAACAAAAATAGGTGTTTAAAATCAATTTTTTTTACAAATATTGCTATTTAAAAAACAACTCAGATATTAGAAAATTGATTTGTTACAGCATTTTAGTAGTAATTGTTAAAGATAAATTCGTATTAATTTAAAACGCCATAGTCCGCCTTTAGGTAGCTAAAATGTATTTAAAGTTATTTTTGTATGTATAAATATTCGAACAATTTCTAGGTACGCAATAATATTTCATATAACTAGACATGCTCTCAAATTTAGTTTTAAGAACTGTATTAAACATGACGAAAATAAGTTTCTGTTGTTATTTGTTCCAAAAAAAAATACCAGTGTGTGTGTGTGTGTGTATGTGTTTCAAGAGTGGAGCTCAAAAACGAAAAGTCATATGAAACTGATATTACATATTCAAGATTCATAAATTTATATCATCAGTGAAACACAATTTTTACAATTTTCGTAAATGCGCCTCTAACGATTTTGATTAAAGTCGGTGTATCACTGTATAATTAAGTAGTATTTAATATCATTTAGGTCTTATCTCCATTGATGTCACTTTACAGAGCTCAAATGTCTAATGTTCATATACGTCTTCCTCTAAAGTACCTATAATATGATTAAAAAAAAAAAACACTTTTTTTATTGATAGTAACTATAAAAAATGGCTTAATACGAAGTTTGAAAGAATATGTTAATTGGAACTGTAGAAAAAAATATTAAGGTATCCTTTCAAACCGCTCCAGGCATATATGAACCTTTCGGTAACCAGAATGACTAACTCCTATTTTAACATTTTTTACTATAAATTTTAGAGATATTTCTGTAGACAAAATGTATACCTTTATTCCAGAGTTCATTATTTCAACACTGCAAACACCTTTTTTTTGTGCTCCCCTTTTGCCGTTAAGGCTATACGGGGTTTTCCTGGGCCGGGATTTAAAAGACTCCCTCGGCACCGGGACGCGAACTCGTGACTAATTTTTATATCATTGAGTCATATATATGGTTTCCTGGCAACGATGGTGATGTGCACACGCTTTAGCCCATTCGGCCACCCAGCCCGTATACTGCAATCACCTATTCTGGAATCAACTTACTCAATTTTTGTATAGATATAAATTTTACAACTAAAATGATGAGCTAAGTGCCCTACCACTGAGCTACTCCACTCCCTAATTAAGTCATTGACGAATGAGAAATCAGGTTCACAGCTTTAAGGTATTGTACAAACGAAATTGGTAGTCTAAGTAAAAAATATTTACACTACTGTAAATTGTAACTTCGACGCTCTGTTTCTCAAAACTATAGTGAATGCAGTTAGAACCTTTTCAAGTCAAGGCCACGATATGTCCTTTATTTATTATAACTTCAATAATTCATAATTGCAAAGATCTTTGGAGGTGATTATCGTTGGCACCATGTAACGAATGTGAAACGTTGGGCAGGTTTGTATTCGCTACTTTAATATGGTGCTGACGATATCACCTAAACAAAGGGTTAACGTGTACATTTTTCTTGAAACTTTTTTTTCTTCTTTTTGGAACCTTGATTCTTATGTTCAGTCATAAAATTTGATCCTGAAACACCTTGTATATCCTAAATCTGTAACTACATGGCTTGTGGTTTGTTTTTCTTCTATTTTGATGCGTTTGTTAGAAAAAATGTTGAGATAGCCGCAAGTTGTTAGCCGCGGCGACCAGAGGGCGGGGCGGGGCAGAGCGCGGGCGCGAAGAGAGATGCCGGCAGTCGCGCTCCGGATGCGAGGCAGGTTCCTCGTGCTCCTGCTGTTGGGGGTGGCGAGTGGGGGCCCGAGGCGGGGCTCCGAGCCTCCCAATCCCCCCCTCACCATCGGCCTTATTCTCCCCAAGACCCTCTTCGGCGTCAGGGGCTACAACAAGGCCATTACAGAGGCCACCGCCGGCCTCACCAAGCCCAGGGGACCCAAGCTAGAGTTCTTGAAGAAGTACACTTTTACCGCCGCCCAAGTCCATAACCAGATGATGGTACTTACTCCGAGTCCCACAGGTATTGTACTATTAAGCAGGGTTAAAAAATATATAAAGATATAATGGTGTTGTTGATATTTCTTTGGAAAAATAAATAAACAAAAACAAATCATTGTGTCATGCATTTAACTTTTTTCAATACGACGATATTCTTATTTAATCAATGAACATGTAAAGTAGTTTTGTTTCAATGATTTTTTTGGGTTACGCTTAACTTTATATTTACAAGCAGCAAGAACTAGCTACCCAAAAACCTTCCATTACTCCATAATCAACGGTAATGAAGAACCATAGGTTACACAAGGTGATAACAACTACATTTTTTTTTTATTTCAAGAGACACTAATAAGATCAAACTAATCAAAAAACCAAAAACCTCGTTGTGGTAACATTTTTTTGGTAAGCGATAGATTTTCATCTTTATCATTGGTATTTGGCAAATTAAAATATAGTAATTTATTTGAGCAGATGTAAGTCAACTGTCGTTATTGTCAAAAATATGTATAACTCATTGAAATGTATCTACTCTAGATTACATACATAAATATTTGTATTTCTCACACTTTATAACTTATAGGAATGGGTAGGATTGATTATCCATAAATATAAATTTATACTTTCTTATTTTAATTTTTAATATTTATGTAAATAAGTGTTTTTAAATTCAGTTTTTTTGTTCTGGAGGTCATCTAAAATGTCATGTCTATTTCTTGATTTTATGTGCATACTATTCGGTTTTCAATCCTTCGACAGATTGAAGAAGAACATTTTATATCTTCTTATTAGAATTTTCTAATAAACAGCACAATAATTTAGAGAGAAAAAATGTCTAATTATGATTTAAATTCTGTTGTTGATCTTCTAAAAGAAAACAAACAAGTAAATGTCTAATATTTTGTCTATTTCCAACAACTCCCATGATTTATTTTAGTTTGCTTTCATTCATATATTTTATTTTAATTAATTTTTTGAAGCACTTATTATCATTTATTAAGTCTCATTAATATGTTTTTAGTACAACTATAATAAACTATTAATAAGTTCTTATAGCTTATTATATTTCTCTGATATGACTTTATATTTATATTTTTTATTAAACTGAAGTAATTCGGCGAAACAGGCGAAGAATTATTATTAAATATCTTCATTCATTTGTTCCGTGATGTCTCAAGTTCAATCAGAGTTTTGCGTTGGTTAAGGTTTAAGATATTAAAATATTGATTTGTTTTTTTAAATATTTTATTCGCTAACTTTCAAATAAAATAAATATATCAAATTATTGTTCAAGGATCTTTACCTCGACTAAACGAAGAAAATATTGTACCCTAGCTTGTATGGATTGCGGGTGTAGAAAAAACAACAACACGTGTTCTCACATATTCATACTCTCTACTATACGGTATCCGTTATTTATGAACATTCAAGTAGCTGCAAACCCTCACCACCTATATATAAAATGAAAAATAACATTGTCAAATGAACTCGTGTAAAATAATTTTGAGTTTTATCACATAATAAAAAAAAAATATATGTAGGTGGGAAAGCGTATTTAGGATATAAGTTAAAACTTTATTATTTCAGCCAATACTGGAGGTAATATTTAAGCTTTTTTTATCTATATTTAAGGTACAGCAGACTAATAGTTTATAGTCTTAAGCTACTTTAGAAATATAGCTGTGCTACATAGCATTTTCTGTGGACTTTCAATCCTTAAGAATAAACATAAAAATAGTCTAAAAAATCCTAAAATAAAAATCCTTAAGAATCTTAATACATAATATAGTTACAAATAACATAATAAAAGATGCAGTTACAAATAATATAAATAAAGCATAAAGGACCCCTTTATGCTAATTTGGCCATGAAAATTTTTTCCAGGAACATGGAACAGCTCGGGTTCGGCTATACAGACCGTCCTTGGTTCCCTTCTTGGTCATCTTGTTGTTCTGAACCACAGCATTTATCCCGATTAGTTGGGTTACAACGCTAAGTTGGTTTTAGTTGTCTCTCAACTGGTCTTAAACAGCATCTTCAATATTTTTGTTAACGAAAATAATACTCGAGAAGGACATTATTGCCAACAAATTTAAATTCTTGTTTAAATGATCCATAAATTCAATTTGTAAAAATATGGCCTGATGTGAGACGATACCATAAACCATAGGTGGGAAACCGCGGCCGAGGAGGGCACGTGCGGCTTCTGTGACGTATTTGCGACCTCCAAACTTTTTGCGCGATATTAATCCAGTGCTGGAATTAATTAATATTTAATTATTTAAGTAGTAATGATGATTCGGAAAATTAATTTGAATTTATGTAGTGTGTGTGTTTGTATTTAGTGATAAATAACAATAGTAACCTTAAAATATTAAAAATATATAAAATGAATTGCGGCCTCCAGTAGCACTGCCTAACCATCCTGCGGCTTCTCATGATAAAAAAATTTCCCCACATAGGCAATTAACCATTTAACAATTACTATAACGATGTAACTATTACTATTGTTATCATTTCTTACTATGAGTTACTTACTTAAAAAATGTCTAGACCTTAAACCTAAAACTTCCATACATATAAGCCTCCCATTACGCAATATAGTGGATATAAGGAGAACATTGGAACCGGAAAATCTGCTTCCCTTTCTTTATCCTCTGGAGTTGCCAAGGGTTCAAGCATGTCTCCTCTCTTTTTCAGCTTCTGTATTAAAGACTTAAATGATTCAATCTTCTATTGTTCCCACCACATTTATACTGACGATTCTCAAATCTATCTAATCTTTTCTCCCGCTGAGTTACTCGTAGCATTTGCCAAAATTCAAGAAGATTTAGATTGATCAGTGCCTGGGCAAACTTAAACGGATTAAGGCTAAATGATGCTAAGTTTCAGTTAATTGTCATTGGTTCCAAACCCCTTCTTAGATCCCACATCAACTTTCTTTCACTCTAGCTAAATAACCACCACATCACCTTCTACTCCTCTTTTAAAAATTTATGCTTTTTCATATATCAAACACTCTCATGGAATCACCATATCTCTCATATCACCCGTCCTGCAATTTCTACCCTCAAGTTATCACTTCTAATGTTACCTACCCCAAAATACCCGTAGCCTCCTGGTTTTCTCTCTCATCTTTCCCAACTTTCACTTCAGTTGTGTGGTGTACGATGGCCTCTAGGTGGAGCTCCGTGATACACTGATAAGATTTTTTTTTTTTTTTTTGCTTTCTCCCCTTCCTCGCCGTTAAGGCTATACGGGGTTTTCCCGGGCCAGGGGGTGTGAGTGGGGATTCAAAAGACTCCCCGGCACCGGGACGCCAACTCGTGACTATTTTTTATCATTGAGTCATATATCAGGTTGCTGGGCAACGGCGGTGCAGTGCACCCGCTTTAGCCCATTCGGCCACCCCGCCCACAGACTGATAAGACTAATGAATAGCTTCGTAAGATTTATAATAGGAATATGCCTCATTCCAAAATTCCTTTGTAGTCCGCTCTGTCAACTTCTGGAGTTCCTTCCCTATCAACATTCGGCACATTCCCAACATCAACATTCCCTTCCTAGCACGTTTTATTTTGGCCAGATGTAGTATTTTAATTATGTTCTATTTTTTTATTCTAAAGGGACTTTGTCCCAGAATAAAGTTATTTTCTATTTCTATTTCTATTTCTATCAACATTTGGCACATTCCCAACATCAACATTCCCTCCCTATCAACATTCGGCACATTCCCAAAATCAGCATTCCCTCCCTATCAACATTACTATTTATCTATCTATACAAAAATAAAAATATATATATACTAAATGCCATAATAGTCCCTTAAATCATTTCAAACAACCAGATATTTTACGGAGTTTGGTATCATTCTAAATGTATACAGCGTTCTGTATCTATTAAAATCTTATTATTATTAACATAATCTATGGTAACATAATTCCAGTTATATAACCTAGTACATAGGATTCTACGTGAAATTTAAATTAGTCACTCTGTCAAATCCAAGGCTCAGTAAAAACATATCGCTAATGATACTGTCCTTTCTACGAATTTTCATTGTCACATATAGTTGCTGGAGAATTTTTGTGAGTCAAGACTTCAGTATTAGAAAGATTATTATTTACAACGGTATTTTCAACGAATGTTAGATCTTATCGAGTGGCATTCTATTTTTCCCATTAAACGGGTTTTATTAACTTTTTTATTTATTTTCTCAATCTATTATTTATATTGTTTAGACGTTTTATACCTTTGATAAAATTTAATCGACTTATCTCCATTGCAAAAAAAATAATTATTACAGTATACACAAAGTGCTTCTTTGGATTGAATCTATAGAATTTAATTCACAGAGGTAGGAAAAAAACAAAACAAATATGGACAGAAATATGATATCATCTGTCCTAATATCCATAACCTCCAGATGGAAAACAAGATGGAACTGTTGGATATGGGAGGTGTAATGGCTTAGTACCAGTTAGGCGGCGTAATGACTCCTAAAATATTAACGATCCTTCGCTTGACATTAACCTGTATCACCGATTTGCACTATGCAGTAATCATTCTCCATTTAACAGTTACGTTCAATTGAATTCGATTAAATTTCTATGCCCTTTATTATGACCCTATATTATTTTAATACTGGAAGGCTCCGTAATATTTAATTTACTTTATTTACAGTTTTAATGATATCGTCTCTATCACTTAAATGCAGCTAGATATTACAAACATTTTTTATATATTTTTTATTTCCCTTCCTGGTATTTGCCATACGGGGTTTCAGCATTGGGTTAATACGTTGGGGATATGCAAACACTACGGTTGCCAATCAGACTCTATATTTTATTTTTAATTCAGTACTAATGGTATATTAATGTATACTGCGGTGCGGCCCGGTCCACGGATGTGCGGCTTACTGATGGGCCGCACCTTGGTCTCCAGCTGGTTGGGCGTCCTGCCATCCTGGGTAGCTTCCTCCAACTTGATGCTGCCTCTCCCGATCCTCTTCCTCCTGGTCTGCTGGTGGAAATCGTCTTCCTATCGGGAAGTGCGTAGGTTCTCCCTAAGCCATTACACACAATATACTATAACAATGAAGTGTTATGTCACACTGGTATGTCTGAAATAGTATACTTTTTTTCTAATTCAGATTGTGTTAAGGTCCCTCCTCCCCCCCCCCGGTTTTATGCAAAAGCTTAAAATGAAGGTTAACTGGTGTGAAAAAATAACAAGAAAATTATATAATATAAAAATAATTGAATGAATAATATTGAACGGAATAAAGCCTGGATTAAGAAAAATCTATTTCACGATTGACTGATAATAAAGTAAAGCAAGAACGCCTGATAAACAAAAATTAGTTTTCTGTATAAAATAATGAAATATCGAATAAAATGAAATTATTGTCATTTCTATGCAACTGTCCAAAATTAATCAATCTACAAATAATTCCTTTTTTTTTATTCATTGATATTTACAACTGTGTTATAAAAAAAAAATACAACTAGTAACTGTGCATCCAGTAATAATAAAATCACATGAAAATGCTTGTTGAGAAACTACTACTCATCGGTAGCACTCTAATAATATATTTACATAAGTAGATCACGAGGCCATCTTCTTTTTCAGACGCCTCGGAGGGTTATCAGAGATCGAGGAGGAAGCAAGGTTTGAAACGAGAGAGTTAGGATGGTTCCGGAGTTTGTTATGGAAGATAGGTAACATTAAGGTCTTTATGGATGATTTTATTTGTGACAAAGTAAGGAGCGTTGAGGATTTTACGAAGAATTTTGGATTGTAAGGATTGGATACGAGAGGAATTCGATAGTTTAGTGGAGCCCCAAAGCTCAATTCCATAAGTCCAAATAGGTCTTATTATTGTCATATATATGAGTCGTTTGTAATTGTTTGAAAGCTTAGAGCGTTTGTCTAGTAAGTGTTGGAGTAGTCGGAAACGCCGAGCAGTTTCTTGTCGTTTCAGTCCTGTATGATGATTACATGTGAGTCGTTTGTCCAGATGGAGTCCTAGGTAATAACTAATTCCATAAAATAAAATAAATAAACATATCAATAATTTTAAAATAAATAATAAATCATTGTATGAAACTGCAAATCTGCAGTAAAACCTTGTGTCCACACTTAAGGACATAGCAGATTTCATGCACAATTTGCAAGTGCCTATATATAAGTGCACTTGTATAAAAGTAAGTCTCTAACACACTCACTATAATCACAATAATACATTCTAAAACAACGATCCTATCAACTATAAACAGTACATAACCAATTAAGAGCTGATTTATTCTTTTTTTAAATATTTAAACTTAACAATATCACATATTTAACAGGCTGGTTGTTTAATTTATAATAATTAAATTGTTAAAGATTAAGGGGAAACTCAGATTCAAAATTTAAAATACTAGAATTTAAATGACGATTTGGGGAGGCATATAACCTAATTAACAGAAAATCTAATATTTCTAACAAATTATTAATATACAAAACCGTACTGACATCTGGACCTCCGGATTTGAAATGTGGGAAACAGCTAAATTTTCGAACATAAAACGTATACAGTCCTTCTGTTCCCATATACTTCGTACAATAGTCAATCTTTCACAATACATTACAGATGGATGTCATTGTGTAAAGTTATTGATATGTATATGATATGTAAAGATATTGATGGATATCCGTTATGTCTATGACATTATTACATCCAGATTCAAAACTTTCTGATATCTCTTACAGTATTTTCTTGTCCTCTTTAGAAAAATAAGGGTCATACTCGGAAAAGGGCTCGACTCCCAACTCTTGACTGTAGATATTATAATAAAATATCAATGTGTTTTGTATATTTTTTTATGTTTCGTAGTTTTTCTTTTGTATTTATTGTTGGCTAGTCGTTCATACATAGAACGAATATGCCACACATAGCTCTAATATGAGGCTTTCTGTTAGGCTGAATGTATTATTTCTTAATAAATATATTTAGTGATTGAAAATTATGTTCGTTATAGCATTCCTTAGGTTCTGTTATGTATTGAACATAGCGAATAAGCTTTTATAATTATTGTGATGTGCCGAAAACAAATTTAAAATATACTGACACCAAACACATCTGCAGACATCAAAGAACAGCGCCAGGTTGGAGAGAAGGTAAATCAAGGAAAAGGGGCTCTAGGGAAAGCTGTACCTAAAAACAACTACTAACGGGTTAAGCAACTGGTTCCTTTTAGGATGTTACCAGTTATTGGGAAGTTATAGGGTGAAGTTAAGAACCAATGAAAACCATCCTTGCCCCACCCTGAATATTTGTATAAAATATAAAAAACCGCAACAGATCATTTGTAACCCGCTAGTCTCTGTTAAAGGATTGCTTCTAGGCAACTTCGCTCAGGAAAATACGCCCACGCGAGAATCGAGTGGGTGTAAATAGAACTTCAGCTAAGTAACCAATAAGATTTACTATGAATCAATGTTTGAAATCTAAAGCAGTTGTTTTGAAGTGCAAGTACTTCTTTAGTCGCGCTTAGCACTTTTCTTGTGGATAGTGAATGAGGCAGCCGCCACGCTCGGATATGTAACGCTCATTCGGGGAAAGTCGGCTCGAGTCGACTAATTGAAGTGTTTTTGTATTTGGATTAAAATGTTTCAGAAACTAAAAATGTAACTAGCATCCTGTAGCGAGGTAAATGTTCAGCATTTCATTAACTTTATAATGAGCTGTTATTCAAAATTATGTTAAAGCGTCGCCGTGTCAGAGAGACAAACATTGAAAAAGGAAAAAAAAATATATATATTTCAAATTATTGATCCTGCCTTGTTAATGTTTTAATTTCTATCTTTTGGTCACAACAAAATTTCTTTTTATCATTTTTATTTGATAATTACTATAAATAAGTACGTAAAACCATGCTATGACTACTGTTCTCGGAGTAAGTTATGATTCTTCAAAGTTAACTTCACCTACATAAGTTACAAGTTCAGTATTCACAACGGATAATCCAACTAAATGATAAAGAACTTGGGCCAAATGTAAGGATTAAACTAGAGATATAATAAAACAAAACTTCTCATCGCCGCTATCACTAATCGACAGTTGTAGAACATATAAGCATTTCGTTCTAACTTTTATCGATACAGAGTGGTAAATGAGATATCTACGAGAAGCCTTAATTGTCTAACATGGTATTTTACCTTTACAATTATATGCTAATAACAACCATTACAAAGAATATGCTAATTTTCAATCAGTAATAAGACAGGTGACAATTAATATTTGATCGAGGATACTAAATATTAATAATATAAGTACTCCATTGAGTTAACCTATTTTATTTTTATTATTACTTATTAATTTCTGTATTATTTTTTTATTTTTTTGAATTTCACTTCTATCTCAAAGGTCCATTGACGGTACGTTGTCTATTTTTCTTCAATATTTTGGTATAGACGGATCATTTAAAAAAAAAAATCATAGTTTTTTCGGTTTTGTTTTTCTGTCTTTTAAGAGCTCTTTGTGGGTATATGGTAGCTTCATAGAAGTCCGTGTGTTTTTGGTAATTTTCTTTTCTACATATAATACGTAAGGAAAGTATTGCAATCAGGGCAAATTTTTGATAATCGTAAATCGCAAATTTGAACGTTTCTTTTAAATTATTTTCTATCAAAGCAGACGAGATTTTCGCAAAAATTTATAAAATACTTTCGTATCAGCTTTATATTTTTTTTAGATATCATAAGAAAAATTTAAATTTTCATTAATTTGGAAAAAAAAATTTCCTTGTTTGCCCCATTAGGTACTCAAATCTAGTTGATCCAGGATTTAATTTTTTTGGGGGGAGGGCTTCAGCCCGAAAGCTTTGTTTTCATAAAAATAACGATAATTATTTTGGAAAAAAAATAAAGAAACTAATTACCTATATGAAATGGTGTTTAAGTGATTCCTAAAGTCCTTTTAAATGTAATTACACGAACGATAGCAATTTTTTTGGTATTTTTTGCATAAAACATGGTTATATTTTACCATATATGGGGGAGGGATTAATCCCCAAAGCCCCTTCCCCGTAGATCCGCCTGTGGTTAAAGTTCATATGAAAGAAATATAATCATTTTGCCTCGAAGAACAAAATACCGACTTGTTTAAGTTTTGACCTTTCTGCTCAGTTAATATTTATTTTTCAGTGGTGCTGGGAAATGAATCTGGGCACTCACTCTCTGGTATGGCACTCACACTCAACGCGATGGTAACCTGAACATAACCGCTGCAGGTTGACAAGAAGGACCCTAAGGTCCACTTGACGGACTAGTTCTAGCAACCAGTATCAAGTATTAAACTTAATGGTTAAAAAGGTTTTTATGTCCTTAACTTGAAGCGTTATTAGTTTTTAAACTAGATTTTTATATCAGACGTTTTAGTATTATTAGTATTACATTTCCATTAAGACATTTAATGATGAAGGCTTGTGTATCTTAGTCAAATTTTCGGGAAGAAAAGTATCACGTTTAGGACCAGGAAGAACATTAAAGATATTTTTTTACGAATGTTTAACTGACAGTTCAAAAATTACGAGACATGCTAATTTTCAAGTCAATGGAAATTCGCAAGATAAAGAAGCTAATTATTCATTTTGTATTAGCTCCCTCCAGGAACCCACTCGCGAACTTATCGCTCCAGAAGAAAACAACTCCAGCCTCTGATAATTCGATTGGCCCCCTCCCAGCGCCTCATTATCCAGGTTGCAGATTCTTGGGCCCTCTTCGGCTCTTGAATTATGGATGAGGTTTCTGTCTCGCCGTTATATTGTTGTAGGCTCTTCCACGCATGCCAACTCTTATCCTTTCATATAGATGTTCTTTTGGGGTATCCGACTTATATTCTCCATTCCAAAAAATAAAACAGTATTTTTTATTTAGGTAATGCTTGCCAAGAAAAAAAAATATGCCAGATACAAACAAGTGTTTGTTCTTCTAACCCATGGGATTCTAAATTAGAACTTTAGCATAGAATCCAATGTTTCGAAAATTAATAAAACGATAATTTCTCTGGATATTAAGGCGTTAGTCAGAAGTTAATTAATTAGAAAATAGAAAAGAAAACTGTAATTGTAGCTCATAGTATCATTTTAACACTAAAATATTGTAACATAATAGCCTATAAATGCCCAATTCTATCAGTACTTATTAAGGTGGGTTTTAAAAACGAAAAATAATTGAAAAATTAAATTGGTACTTATTTTATATTTGCTCCAGTTTACCAAGGAAGAAGTTCGAAATAACAATTTAAGGCATCCCAATCCTTTCAAATTTGTTTGACAATGCAGACCTATAGTTCTTTGACCGTGCAGGATGGGGTAGCCGAGCGCGGTGACGTTTGTACAAACCACGCGTTGCCCGATTGCCTGATAAATCGAAGTTTATTGATGATAAAGTAATTAAGATTTCGCTTCCAGGTACCGGGGGAGGGGAGGGTACTGCTTTCAACTATGGCATTAATCGTCCATCCCCTCCATGGCCCAGGAAAAACCCCGTATAGCCTAAAAAGGGTGGAAGTAGTGGCTCCCAAAAAAAGTTCTACGACCGAGAAGGTGATGTTACACATATTTTATTATTCACAGGAGATGTTCAGATAGCTTATAGGGACCATCCTACTACTCTTTATAGGTAGGTGATAAGCAGCTAACTCAGAGACTATTTTGAGAGATTTCTTATTTAAACATAGGAGACATTTTTATATTGAAGTAGGTGAAAGTAAAAAGCTTTTGGAAACCATCAATAGAAAATCTTGTTGAACAATGGAAAAAAGTTAACTGAAGTTAACGGAAATTATTTTAAATATGATAAAAATATATAATTGGAATTGTTTTTTCTATCATTTGCCTCATCAACTTTGCATGTTTTTACGAATAAGGGTTGTATGTTCCTTTATGTGTTACATTTTGTTAACGCCCGAATCAACGCATTCTATTTTTTCATAGTTCATCAAACAAATGTTTATTTATTTTATTTTTTTAATAGGCTAAGATATTATTGTTCTAGAAATGTATTGAGATGTATAATATTTAAATATTAGGCATTTTGAGACATATAATCGTATTTGTATACGCACCAGCCCGCTAGTAATAATGAGTATATAAGGATTGACTATAAAGATGAGACTATAAGGAAAGACATCAAAATATTGCGGATAAGACTACCGGGAAGTCCGTCTGGAGCGAGCTTTCGTTGTTAACATTGGGTCCATGTACTGGGCATCTTTTTTTTACAACATAGCTGATCGGTACTTCGGAAGTCCGATATATCAATCCCCCTCCCCTCTTCACCATCGACTGCTTTTCAAATCAGCTGATACCTCAAAGGTAACGTCGTTGGTAGTAATTCCCATTTGGATCGTTTGTTTATTTTCCAACTTCATCGAAAGACATTTAAGTATTAATTTGGTTTTCCTTCTAAATTATTATTATTTCGACTTTAATTGAACTCATGTTATTTTTGTGATCAATCTTTATTCTAGAAGTTTATTTTTATTCATGTTTCATTTTTGATGGACAATTTTAATTTTCTCATTGGATATTACATTTATGTTTTATTCTTATTTCAATAGATTTGATACCATTGGTTATTTAGCTTAATAATATAATAAATATTGAAAACATTCAAAAAGGGGGTTATTTATTTTCCATGTTGGTTTAATGAATATTTTTATTTTATGTTATTTGATTTGAGTTCTACCAATGGGTATTATCTCTTCATGTTGTACATGTCATGTTACCAATGTCACATTTACTTGTTGTATTTTTCATGTAATACAGTTGTAAATTACATTAAAATAAAATAAAAATAAAAAATATTATTTGATGTGCATGCATTTCACCTCATTTTCCAGATCATTTTTTGCTAATTTTTCGCTTTCTTTCCCATCGTTTAATTTTGCTCATATTTCTTCCCACATTTTAGGAAAATTACCGATGAAAGATTTCATTTTGGTCCTAACAAATTTTTTATATTAAATTACAAAATACAATTTTCTTTTTATTTTATGTTCCAGGTAAGGAGTAGCTATTCGAAATAGGTTATGCATCACACTGCTGGTGTTATTGGCAAGTACATTATTATAATAGTAATTAGACAAGTAACATAAAAAAGGAAGTAAATAAAATATTAAACATAAATTTATACGTGCTTAACGATGTTTCGGTTGGATATGAATGGAAAAGCTCTGCATATTATCTGACAAGTCGGGTGACAAGTAAGCTATGCTTCCTTTAGATATTTTCTGAGTATTTTATTTTATTTAATAATTGAAACAAAGATATTTTTTTGTTAGTAGAAAAATACTCACACGAAATCCTGAATTTGTCTTGTATGAAATAGAATAAGACATATAGATGCATTGTTCTAGTTAACTACAACATATCTTTATACTTAAATTTTATCCACCATCTTTTCACTTCTCGTTTTCTTAATTTAATCTTCGTATAATTTTATCTTAATCTTATTTTTAATTTCAATTTGTACATTTTAAATGTTATTTAAATTTATAAGTTTAGGTATTACTTTTTTTTTCTGAATAACCTGGGTCTAAAATATCATATCTGTGGTAAACACCTTAGTAAAATCCTCAACCTCATTCTGAAATAACGTATTCATATTGATGACTAGTCATATAATAATATATGATATATATGGTAATATATAGTCATATATATATATGACTATAATATATATGACTATATATTATATATATTATATATATATATATCATATAATATATGACTTAATATAGTCATATAATAAGGTAGAAGAAATGAGGACGAGAACATGACTTGAATACAATATAGTCTCATAGGGCTTAATTTATTAATTTGTCATATTTGAGTTGAAAACTAATTAGTGTAAATGCTATAATTTTACAGTTACTAACTTCACAAACAACGGTCTTATTGCAGAATAATCATTACCAATATGTTTAAACAGAAACAACAGAGAGATCCCTATTCCATCAAATTTGATATAAATTTGTAGCTCTGTCATTAGTTCAATAAATGAAGGTTTTTAAATTCCATTTATTATTAAAATAAAAATTATCTAAAAATAAATTTGCTTCTATGACACATACGAACTAAGTGATTTTATTACTATAATTACCAACCTAAAGTCCAACTGAATGTCAAAAAGACATAAAGTAAAACGTGTGTCTTATTAACTTGCCAGGCATAAACACTTCAGTAGACCTTCATTAGGGTAGAGTATGTTTTTCGTTCAGGGACCCTCGTGCCGCCTCTATTTTCCGACGATTCGGAAAGCTTGTCGAAACATCGATACTGACTGTGCCAAGAGCTTTCCACTTTCCACTAATTATCTCATGCAAATTTTCACGAAAGCAATTAGGGAAATGAAACATTTATTTTGTATCTCTTGAGATCTGCTGTTGACGGCTTAGCGGGAATCTAAAATTGCAACCACGTGGGCAATAGGTACTTCACTAGCGATCTTCGAAATCAATAACGGTTTTACTTTTTTTTTTAAAATGAATTCGTGGTAATACTATTACAATCTAACTTCCTTAAATACTTAATATATGTAAGGTATAGATATAGTAAAAATATTTTTTATTAAATATAATTTAATAAAAAATAAATTAAGATATAATAATCTAGGACTCCATCTGGACAAACGTCTAACTTGGAATCCTCATACCAGACTGAAACGACATGAAACAGCTCGAGGTTTCCGACTACTTCAACACTTACTAGACAAACGCTCTAACCTTCCAATTAATTACAAAAGACTCATTTACATGACTATAGTAATGCCTATTTGGATTTACGGAGTTGAGCTATGGGGCTCCACCAAATCTTCAATAATCCTCAATGCTCCTTTTTTTGTTACAAATAAAATCATCCATAATGACCTTAATGTTCCTTGTGTATCAGATTTGGCCCAATCCAGACATCTGTCCTTCCATAATAAACTTGATAACCATCCCAACCCCCTTGTTTCTAACATTGCTTCCTATTCAATTCCTGATAACCCACCGAGGCGTCTGAAAAGAAGATGGCCTCGTGATCTCCTAATATAAACATATTAGAGTGCTACCAATGGGTAGTTTCTCAACATGTGTTTCATGTCATTATATCAATATGCGAATTTACTTGATGTATTTTTTGTTTACCGTTGTTAATATCATATAAATAAATAAATAAAAAAATATAATAATAAATATTCGATGTCGTTGGTCCTCATTCTTATTATACTTATTTATTTTAATAAGTCCATTATGTTTTTCTGAGATAGTAGTCCATTTTGAAAAATGATGTACATAGCAACTAAATTTAAATTAGGAATACTGTTAATAAATTTGAAAATACTGCTAGGACTCTACTGGTAGATTCTCACAGAAGAATTTATTTTTAAACAAACGTTTATCATACCACCACCATAAATTTTGATGGTGTAACTTGCGTCTTGCAACTCGCTTCTGGGTGCTCCATCATCGATTGGTAGATTACAATCCATCTTTTGCATAAAAAAATCAATGTTATAGTGTTATATGTCAGTCGTAGGTATGTTTGTGTTTTTTTATTTATTTATTTTAGGTTATTTTATTCTTATTTATTGTATATATATTATTTTTCTGTATAACTTATTTTATTTATTGTAGATATAGTGTGATTGTGATCTCTGAACATTATTACAAATGTCCTTTGAGACAGAATGTAATATTTTTCAATAAATAAAAATAAAATAAAATGATATGTCAGTCATAACCAATTATCTTCT